AAAACATTTCCATATTTTTTTTATATAACATGTATCATGTGTAACCAAAAGGAATGTTTATCAATACATTAGTTCAAAGGCTTACAAATATTTTGTTTTATTTAGTTAAAAATGAGTTTTTAAAAGAAGACACAAACATTTTTATACCATTTAGATTTGCTGGAAAGTCACATTGATAATCAAGGTAAGAATAGATATTGCCCTAAAATTATTTTTAGATAAGTAGTCTTCAATGCTTAACCTCTGAATTCCTGAATCGTCAAGCTTCCATTTTTGACTGTCTTTTACATTTATTTAAATTCACACCAACACTGTAATGGTCATTTTGGCAATTTTCCAGCTATATTGGTAGAAGAAGAACTCAAGTGCCCTTTTGTGCAATATTCAGGCACAAGAAAGCACCTGAGTATAACCACTAACACTTTGTAAGCTAAATGGAAAGCTTCCTCACTTTACGCCCCTGGCAGGATTCAAACCCACAGCGGTGAGTGGCAAGTAGTTTGAAATCCATAATCTTAACCACTCGGTCACGGACACCTCATCCTTCCAATAGTAAAGCTGGAAAAGTGTCACATGACCATTCTGTGAGAGTGCGTACTCCGCCCAATATTTACCTGTTGATTGAGCATCTGCATTTTTGCATGCTGTTGTTGTAAATACACCTGATGTTGTAGATCCTGTAGTAACTGGCGTCGTGCCGGATCAAGGTTCGCCTGTAACACAAAATAATGATAATTATATAACTATCAATCTAACTCCCTACAATATGTAGACATGTTTGCACTATGGTAATAGTGAATGATAATCAGGGAAGGTGTAGTCTTGTTGTCATAGTGTATATATACATTGTCTCTCAACTCATGATTGTACTTTCATAAATTACAAATAAACTTTCACAAATTATAACAAAGCACCTCTATTACACAAGTTTTACAGGGTATTACACCTCTATTACACAAATGTTACATGGTATTAATATGAATAGTCAATAACCAAAATTGTACAGTGAACTTCAAAGATCCACAGGTTTTGGATGTCATAATTTTCATAATAAACTAAAGCTTAGAAGTGCTTTAACCAAGTCTATATCATTAACATATCTTGAGTGTATGTAATGAATGGATCATTGAGCCTTCAATTTGCTAAACTTGTTAATGGATTTGTAAAGCTTTCAATTTAGTACAGTATTTTTGAAATGTACGGGATTTCAATATCCAAAAATTTAAATTGAGCTACCATAAGTATACAGCCTGGTCAGACTGCACAGAAGTGCTCACTGGCCTGGTTCTATACCGGTGACATACACAAAGGCTAGTTACTTTAGGTTAAGGGTTCATAAGTGTGAGAGGCATTACCTGATTTTGTTGTAACTGATGGAGTATCTGTAACTGATGTGGTGACAGTAATTGTGGAGGTCCTTGTTGAGATGTCGGACTCGTCTCCAACAATTCTGATGATGGCTGAAATCATATAATACTCCATAAATAACTGGTAGCAGATATTAATAGATAACCTGAAAGTTTAATCTCTTGAACTTTAGCTTTGATCTCAACCTATAACATTTTCAAAATTGGCGAATGCTTCCCCAAAACAAATCCACTCTGATACAACTCAGAAACTATCCATAACTACGAGGGAAAGTAGTTGAAAACTCAGTTTTAAGCCTCAAATGCGTTGAAAGGCAAAGTTCATAAAACATGGGTATAAGTCCATGCAAGGTACATGAATACTAAATATTTGAAGATTGTAGGATACCATTTAAACTGCTATATGAGTAAAACTTTAGCAAGCACACCACATGCAGTGTTAACGCTCGTCTGTGAAAAATTCTTTGCCAACATGTTTTTATTTTAACCTAAAATACATGTACTGTATCTATTAAAATAAAAGAAAATCATAAATACCTATTAAACTTTAAGTAAATTAATGATATCGACATGAAATAATGTATGTTCAAACAAATTTACAGTTTCAAAACTTACCCTTTTCCGAGGTTGCATTTTTTTCTTCTTGTCATCAAGCATTGGACCTTGACCGGCAAAGTTCTGTTGTCCTGGAGACGGACTTGCCCCGCCCGATTGTGGCATCAAAGGTGATTTCTGTACTGTGTGTGGTGTCCCTGAGCCTTGTCTAGATGTAAGTTCGGCAGGTATAGGAAGGGCCCAAGCCTCTTCTATGCTGGGTAATGTCTTTGGCCTGGAATTTTCAAAGATAAAGTTAGGTATTAATACACTTGTTACTTATGATAATAACAAAGTTAAGCCATGATCTCGGCTGGTTATGAGAGTCACATGACCAAGTTTGAGTTTGCAGCCCAGGGCCAAAAGGTCCGGCTGAACATAAGCACATGCAAAAACATGAAATATGACATCACAGTCATCAAAACCAGCAAGCTGAAAGTTGAATTAAGTTTTTTTAGTATTTAAGTGATTACTTACTTGTTTTGTAGATGTTGCATGGGTATTTTGGAGAGATGTTGCTGCAAAAACTTTATTTTTCCATTCAAAGTTGAATTTACTATTCCTCCTGAAGAAACAAAAATTCATTTTACAATAATATTATTGTGAAATACAGAATATAAAATTGTTAACATTATACTAACAGTGGAATTGATAGAGTGCTTCAGTGCTTAAGATTGACTGTATTGGACCATTTGGTTGAAAATCATCATTTATAATTAAAGCCTTCAAAGATAAATTCATTGATGAATTAATTATTCTAATATTTCTCACCAAAAATTGCCACTAAATTTAGTAAATACAAATCCCAAGAACCATGGCATGGCTGTTTGTCAACATTTGTGAATAAACAGCCAGCAAATTTTGTAAACTAACACATTAAATGAACTGTTATATAACATGAAATTCGTATGTCATGTAGAAATGTAGAAACCCTAAGCTTACTGGCAGCTACATGTACAGAATCTATCCATGCAACCAGTGCAGACCAAGATCAACTGGCATGTCCATATTGTCTGATCTTGGTCTGCACTGTTCTTGCTATTCAGTAAGTACATACTTTGAAATTTTCCCTAAAAATGATAATCTGACCCAGATTGAAAGTTGGGTAAGTCCATTTAAGATATTTAGCGGGTAAGGCTTAATATTGAAAACTTTAACAGTCTCAACAGGAACCACCATTAAAATTATAGTTTCTCTGTTTTTAAATTATAGTGGTAGGTATCAGACCACTAAAAAATAAAAATTTCCATTAGAAACTTAAAGGGACTCCACTGAGGTTTTTTGACATGATGGGACTGAAAATATTTTTACCAGAGAAATGTACCATTTGATGTAGGTTTAGACCACTAATCTTTGTGCAAAATTTCAGATCATTCGCGCTCTTCGTTTTTCCAGAATAATTATTTAAATTGTAAAAAAATGACCTAAACTGAAAAGCGTTTAAACACTTTTCACTCAAATCGGGCTATGAAAAGTATAAAAATACGATTTTCAATTTATATCACAGTATATTTCTTAACTATCTTTGCATATATTTTTGTTTAAAGTGGCCCAGCTCATTTATGTAAGAAATTCAAATGTTATGTTTTTAGGCTTTTAAACCTCAGTGGAGTCCCTTTAATAAAGGAAAACCTGTACGTCAGCAAGATCACATTTCCATTAGAACAAGAATTGTCAGGAGAACACGTGTGTTTCAGTTAGAAAAAATAATTAAAGAAATGATATTTTCTTAATAAAATGCTGAACTAAATTTAGGCAGACAGATATCATATGTTGTAAAACGTGACAAATTTTGTACAAGATAACCAATACTGTCATCACCATTTGAAATTCTTGAAAATAATATCAACAGAATTAAAACTTAAAATGAACTAGTCCTGCTCTGCATTAAAATAAGACTGTCCATAGTTAACATGAGAGGGTTTGATATCAACTACACAGACATACGGACTGGCCTTGCCCTGTACTTGTGCTTTAGGCAAGGCATTCTGGCTGCAAATATTCATAACTAACATTTTTCAAAAAATATTTGCATTTTTTGTGCAAAATCCTCAAGTTTAATGACCCTTAAGGACCTTAAAGTTTGAGATGTCACTTAAACGTCTTAAATAACTGTTTAAAGTAAGGGAAACCTCTGTAGAACAATACCCTCTTTACAACAACAGATTTCACCTCTCTAAAAACAATGCCTCTCAGGAACAACAACAACAATCTTAATTCACCAAAAGTGTCTTGCTCTGCAGAGTTTGTACTGTAAATAAAATGAACAATAAGCATTTCTGTACCAACCTTTAGCAGTTTTTGTTGCATTGATGTAGCATGTAAGAGCGTCTTTTGGCTGGTTACACGTTTCATACAGCAGACCAAGGTCGGTCCACGCCGCTGAATGGGATTTATCGAGCTGCACCGCACAGATGTACGCCTGCAAAGCATCCATAGGCTGATTCTGTTGTTGATACAGAACCCTGAAATACAAAATAGTATAAATAGATAAAAGCTAATAATAGCTAAAACCTTGGGAGAAATAATAATATAAATGGATAAAGCATGGTAAAATAGCTAAAACCTTGATATAATAGTTGTATAAATAGATAATAATAGCTAAAACCTGGAAATAACAATTGTTTAAATAGATAATGATAGCTAATAATAGCTTAAACCTAGAAATAACTATTGTATAAATAGATAATAATAGCTAAAACCTGGAAATAACAATTGTTTAAATAGATAATGATAGCCAATAATAGCAAATAATAGCTAAAACCTTGAAATAACAATTGTATAAATTGATAACATTGTAAAATAGTTAAACTCTCATATAAATGGATAAAGTAAAATAAAATAGCTACAACCTTAAAATGATATTCATATAAATGGATAAAGCCTCATAAATAACTAAAACTTTGACATAATAATTGTATATATATATATATAGAGAGAGATAAAGCATAGACAATCACTAAAATCCTTAGATAAAATACCATAAATAGATTAAATAATACAGATAAATATGAAATAATAACTTCCGTGAATTTTATAAATCAGTCACCTAAACTAACACTCTCTGTGAAATAACTAAAATTCTGGCCAGCCTTTTATTTGTTCACAGAATTTTGTTTTAAGAATTTCCTTACAAATGTCCTAGAAGCCTTAATTTATACCACACTGATTTCCAACTCCCACAAGTCTAAGAAAGTATGAATATATACTGCATTTCATAACATGTGGGTAATTGTGGCAATGTCCTGGTTTAAAACTTGATTGCTTTCCTCAGAATAATTATTCTTTTTCTCGCCCCCTTAAAATAATTGAAGCTACTTAGAACTATATGAATGAATGAAAGTACTACTACTACTAATTTTCTAGCTGCTTATCAACTACCCTGTATCTTTATAAGTTAAAAGGCAGATTCTTAAAGACCGAATCACATCTTAGTGATCTCCCTTCTTAAATTAACTGTTTTTTTTCCCTCCTATTGTCTATTAATCAATGCATACAAAACAATACTGCCAAATATATGAACAGCCTGTACATCATTGGAAACAGAGAGGGAGGCTGGGTGAACTGTTTCTATCTTGAAAGTAGAGCACTAGGTCAATATTGATTGTCGAATCTGCCAAGCTGCAGAATATCTTCCATCTCCAAATATCTCGCTAAGAACATGAGCATCCATGGGTATTGATAAGTCCATACAGAGTCACTTAAACTTCACTGTAGTTAAACTGTTCCCAGAATCGTTTTGAGGAAGAGCTATATAACCCATTTGAGGAAGAGCTATATAACCAATACAGCCCTCAGGTGTACATTTATAACCAATATTGAATAGTTAAGTATCCAGGAAGCCTGATAGGTGAAATGACTGCTCAGATTTGACCAAATTGGGTAATAATAGGTGTAAAAATTGAAAAACTAATGCCTTCAGACACAGCATTATATCCATTACTCCCTTACGTACAGTTAGTTTACAATTAATGCCCTCAGGTACAGCAAAGTAAACGTTAATGCCCCATAACCATAACTGTCCTAAGGTACAGCTGTATAACCTATACTTGCCTCAGGTACAGTCAGATTACCATAACTGACCTAAGGTACAGTTAGATTACCATTACTGCCCTCAGGTACAGTTAGATTACCATTACTACCCTCAGGTACAGTCAGATTACTATAACTGCCCTCAGATACAGTCAGATTACCATTACTGCCCTAAGATACAGTCACTGTTAATCTTATCTATGTAAGGCATCACTGTAACTATGAAACTGTACTACATGGCCACTACCTTGAAGGGATCTCAGAAATTCATGAGTCTAATCTATATGGACCATAGAAGCACACACCTAATTTGAAGGGATCACAGAAGCTATAAATCAAGAAAGCATAAGTCTAACTTCATGGATATGAACCATAGAAACAGATGATCAACTTAGATTAAGGAATCACATATAATATAGATCTAATCTATATGGACCGTAGAAATGCAAGACTTACTGTAGAATCACAGAAATTAAAAAGCTAATCTGCATGGACCATAGAAACATAAGGCTAACTTGAAGGAATCACAGATACTATAAATGTAATCTATATGGACCATAGAAACACAAGACTAACTTAATTGAAAAAAATCACAGAAACTAAAAATCTAAACAATGTGGACCATAAAAGCATTACATCACTTTGTGTCACAAAAAAATGTACTTTAAAATCTGAATCAAAGAAACTTAAATAATAGCTTATATAAACTATTGAATATATAAACTTATAATAATCTAGATCATAGTAAAATACCTGTATGGATCGTAACATGTTTGGAATTTCCTAGAATTATAATAACAATCGAAGGACGCATTCTGGTATCTAAAATCCATCCCTCGATACAATATCTCCTTACAGATCTCCTCAAACATTTCACACGTCCTTTTATAGAAATATTTTTTACTGTCACCGATTTAAAATAACGCACATTTGAATACCAATATAAATGATAATACTTTCATTCAGTTATTACTCAAAGAAACTGTTATTTCTGATTGTTTTAAAAATATGAACCCGACTCCCTCAGCTTGTATTCAGCTGAGTATAATTAGTTTATAAATTAGTCCATGATTCAAAAAGAAGTGTGAATGATAATCTATCAAATTGTTCTCTCAAAAAAAAACAAACTTTTTTTCTTCCAAGAATAACATATGTAACTTAAGTGCATTGAGTAAATGTCCTGCACTAGAAATAACAGTTCAAATTATTCAGATTAAGAACAAAGTGCAATTGTAGTAAGCTTTCTTGGTATGTAAAAACACGTTTGAACGTTCAATTATACCAGGAAAAAAAAACCAATATCAACTATCTAATCAAGTTTCCATTTTCCAAGTCCGAGCGAAATAAGTACCACTGCAGGAAGATGTTATAAGGCCGGATTAATGACCGGCTATCAGACAGGAGTAACAGTCGTACACATTTTTCACATTCTTTCCTCACATTCCCTACACCACATTACGAGCTAACCAATATTGGAAAATACTGACACCGTTTCTAGCCATAGCTTTAATACCACAGCCACAGAGTCACACACATACTGTAGCAAAAGTTTCATTGGTCGATCAATAATTCCTTATATGGAAAATAGGTCAGACAGAAATGATTGTGAATAGACGAATGATTGGCTGCAGTCACTGCTTTTGTAATGGTACGATCATAAACTGCCGTTTTAACAGCTTTTCCAGAAAATAGAACAGACTGTTTAAATATACTAGTAAATACCACAAGCAAATTACTATCGCAAACATTCAACGTGATTTTAAGTTAACTTTTCCAATAAATATCAGTATAAAAAATTTGCAAGTCTATAAATAGTATTTGTGCGTAACTATATTACAAGTGACTTTACGTCTATTCATAAATATATAATAAACATGAGTAGGAGATAATTAATAGTGCGTCTGCTTTAACAAATAGTGAAACTTTCATAATATGTTTACGTAAAAGTTTGTCCAAGTGTTTTTCCTGAAAGTGGTTGGTGTATTTCCAATATGGGGGTGAATTCTCAATATATTAATTCATTCTCAATGAGTGGGTTGCCTCAATACATGCAGATTTATTCTCCATGTGTAGGTGTATTTTCAATGTTTATGTTTATTCTCAATGTGTAGGTTTATTTTCAATGTGTAGGTTTATTCTCAATGAGTAGGTTTAATTTCATTGTGTAAGTTTATCATCAATGTGTAGGTTTATTCTCAATGTGTAGGTTTATTTTCATTGTGAAGGTTTATTCTCAATTTGTAGGGGTATTCTCAGGACTGTGTAGGATGTATTTTGAGGACTGTGTAGGGTGTATTTCTTGGACTGTGTAGGGTGTATTTCCAGAACTGTGTAGATGTATTTCCAGGGCAGTGTAGGTGTATTTCCAGGGCAGTGTAGGGTGTATTTCCAGGACTGTGTAGGTGTATTTCCAGGGCAGTGTAGGTGTATTTCCAGGACAATGTAGGTGTATTTCCAGGACTATGTAGGGTGTATTTCCAGGACTGTGTAGGTGTATTTCCAGGACTGTGTAGGGTGTATTTCCAGGACTGTGTAGGTGTATTTCCAGGACTGTGTAGGGTGTATTTCTTGGACTGTGTAGGGTGTATTTCTTGGACTGTGTAGGGTGTATTTCCAGAACTGTGTAGATGTATTTCTAGGGCAGTGTAGGTGTATTTCCAGGACTATGTAGGTGTTTTCCAGGACAGTGTAGGGTGTATTTCCAGGACTGTGTAGGGTGTATTTCCAGAACTACATAGGGTGTATTTCCAGGACTGTGTAGGGTGTATTTCCAGGACTGTGTATGGTGTATTTCCAGGACTGTGTAGGGTGTATTTCCAGGACAGTGTAGGGTGTATTTCCAGGACTGTGTAGGGTGTATTTCCAGGACTGTGTATGGTGTACTTCCAGGATAGTGTAGGGTGTATTTCCAGGATTGTGTAGAGTGTATTTCCAGGACAGTGTAGGGTGTATTTCCAGGACTGTGTAGGGTGTATTTCCAGGACAGTGTAGGGTGTACTTCCAGGATAGTGTAGGGTGTATTTCCAGGATTGAGTAGGGTGTATTTCCAGGACAGTGTAGGGTGTATTCCCAGGACTGTGTATGGTGTATTTCCAGGACTGTGTAGGGTGTATTTCCAGGACTGTATAGGGTGTATTTCCAGGACTGTATAGGGTGTATTTCCAGGACTGTGTAGGGTGTATTTCCAGGACTGTGTAGGGTGTATTTCTTGGACTGTGTAGCGTGTATTTCCAGAACTGTGTAGGGTGTACTTCCAGGATAGTGTAGGGTGTATTTCTAGAATTGTGTGTTTTTTTCTCAATATATGGCGGTATTTCAATTACATGTGGGTGTTTCGTCACTGCATGGTGTAAGTAAATTTCCAGCATGTGTGGGCGTATTTCATTACTTTAAGTACTGTATATTATAAGTTGCTAAATAGATTTACAATTTACTTTGTGTAGGCTCATAATAAATAAAATGTCAGATTTATATTTCTAAGTAAACAATTTCCAATCTAATTTGTTTGTTATCTTTGCTTTATCAGATTGTTTTGTTAGGTTTTAAGTCGCACGGACAATGCAATATGTCATGTAGTGACTTTTCCTGCTTTCTGGTGAAGGAAAAACTCAGGTGCCCCCTCATATATTATTTCAGGCACAAATGGACACCAAGGAGTTCACATTAATATTGTTACATTCATATTGTTTATCATCACTACATGTAGGTGTTGGTAAGTATAGGTTAAGCTTCATGATATATAAGAATAGGTCAATACCATATTTGAGTAGGCTTACTAAAAGCTTATCAATAGGTTTTGTAATTACGTTACATAATTTTGTCTACATTAATTTTATTACATGAGTAGGCTCACAATTTTTAAAATGTCATATTAATATTCACTTATAATGAGTTGGATCATAATAATATAATTATTATCATAATTATCCTCAAGGGGAGATAATTATATGGCAACATTCCCACTATCTAAAATATCCTCTTCTATCCTTTAATTTAAGAAAGAAATTTCCTAACAACTGCCCCCAAAAAAATCAAAATGAAAATCGATTTCCGAGAGAAACAGTTTTGACTTGTTTCTTTAAAAGAAGTGACAAAATCATATAATCAAACACATGAATTAAATTTAATTCTTAACCGCTTGAAACCAAAAGTGATTGGCCTTTGCCACTAGTATAGAGCCAGGCCATACTGCACAGTCAATTGTGCAGTATGACCAGGCTCTATACTGTTGGTAGCTGAGTTTATGTATTTTGATATTGAAATCCCTTAACACTTGAATAGACTTTTCAAAAATTCAAGACATGACAAAACAATACACAAGTTCAGCAGTTAAATGGTTAAGTACAATGAAGCGGTGGCCTGATGGTTAAGGTGTCTGCCTCTTAACCCAGGGATCATGGGTTCAAGCCCTAATTGGGTCATGACCATGTTTCTTCATATAACACCATTACTGCATGGTTCCAGGAAGCAGACTCAAAAGTGATTAATATAAGTTGCAAGAACTTGTTAAGCAATCAAGCTTTCAATATGTGAAACTAAAGTACAAGGATGTTTTTCAATAAAATTCCTCAATCCTACTTTTCTAAAATTAGGCCAATGGCCTTTTTCCTAAAATAGCTGGCAAGGGCCTTGATATTTGTAAGACAAAGGCCCTTTTATTTGTGAGTTTATAAGAACTATGAGTAGGTTTATATATAAATGTTATTATTACTGTATGGACGTCAGTCAAAAAGTGTGTAGGCCTGTCATATATTACAAGTATTTTCATCATAACATTTGTTATTTGGGGAAGTTCCAATTTTCCAACACCACTTTGCCATGTACAGGTCAACAACTACTAAACTTAGATCTTTTTCAGTATAATGTGAAAAGGTGTTTTTATCATATAGGTAAAGGAAACAAATAAATGTAAGAAAGGCCCATTATGTAAGAAAATTTGGTTTTTGTTTGTATTTACAGTGAACCAACACAATTTAGGTCATAGATGATTTCAGCTATCTTCGAGTGTTACAAACTCGAACCCAGCTCATTTGCTGGAGCTAAGAAATGCATAGACTCAAGTTATTTGAACCCATTTAGTCCCACGCCTCTTACGGGTATATTAGATGCAAATTCTGATGCCTTAACCTTTAAAGGCAATCCCTCAATAGGATTTAGAAAATTTGTAGACTGTTAACTTAAAGCCAATAGTATATAATCCAGGCAAACTACATAAATGAGCCGCGTCATGACAAAACCAACATAATGGGTTTGCGACCAGCATGGATCCAGACCAGCCTGCGCATCCGCGCAGTCTGATCAGGATCCATGCTGTTCGCTTACAACTCTATAACAAGTAGAGAAACTGATAGCGAACAGCATGGATTCTGATCAGACTGCGCGGATGCGCAGGCTGGTCTGGATCCATGCTGGTCGCAAACCCATTATGTTGGTTTTGTCATGACGCAGCTCAAATACACATACTGACCTATCACAGGACTGGTATTACATTATCACTGCTAGCATATTCAATTAACTAAGGCCTCGGGCACTTCTACATTTGTTAAATATACTTTTGACATTTTATAATAGAGCAAACCTTAAACAAGACCTGTCCGTGGACAGTACACTCCACTTTTATCAGTGGTGGATAGTATACAAGTAATTGAAAAACGCCTAAAAAAGGGCAGTAACTGAGCAAAATGGTTTTCGTGGTTATGTTCCCTTTAGAAGTACATTAATTTTCAACTTTGTTACAAAGTAAAGAAGTATTCCAAGTGAATATCATAGACAGCTTTTGAGAAATGATCAGTCACAAATAGGGTAAACAGGGGCAAAATATTATGTCCGAAAACCGGCACAACTTTGAAATAAACTATTTTAAAATTATCTACCAATTGAAATGGCATTAAATTTCGACATTGGACATGCATACAAATTTTGAAGTGATAACCATTGACAGTTTCTGAGAAATCTACCTTCCAAAAAGATTTATTTAAGCTGACGCCAAGGCCAAAAGCTTTCGAGAGGGTCATGACAATAGCTCTACTTTTTTTTTCTTAGAAAAGTATAGACTAAAAAAATATGTCTGGTTCGTTGCTAGAAATAGACAATTTCTAATTTGGCTGGTTAAGCAAAAAGCATAATCATTGTGGAAGTGCGTTCATTCACAACATCATGTCATCATCGATTTCCAATATGTAGGCCAACGAAACTTAAGTAGAGATAATATTAAGTGCATTATTTACTGTATTATTGCCAAGCCATTAAAGAAGGTCTAGATTAAAATGGGTCTATAACCTCCAGAGAACAAATGAATTGATGAAATATCGGAAGTGACTTGTCACAATAAGTAAATTTACAGCATTATGACATTCCTTGTTTCTGGATAAAGTAAATGTACACCATTTTATAGCATTTTTAAGTACATGTTCTCTTTTTAAGCATTAAGTATACCATTAAAAGATTGCCTATTAAGGATAAAATACACTATTATAAGATTTCTCAATTAAGTTGACCTACAGTGAATATGCCATTACAAAAGTACAATCGGAATGCCATTATAACATTTCTAATGGTAAAGAAATTCAAACATATCCAGCATTAACTATTTCCTAATACTCTGAAAACATTAGACTCTGAAGTACATGTACACTTCTTAACTCTGTGATAAACTTAAACTTGCCATACATCATAATCTAAAATGTTCAACTAGTTAATTTCTATCTCATACAACTAACAAGTATCTCACTGAACCAATAGACCTCAGGGGCATTGTATTTTTCACAATCAAAACACAAAAACATATAGCAGAAAACAAAGTTTAATTACTATGTAGATATCAACACACATAGCATAAAGTAAAGACTGGATGCCCTAAAGACTTAAAACATGAAGTGGCACCTTGACTAAGTGGTAAAGTGTCAGATTAGTTTTCTATAGATAACTGGATGCATAAGTTCGAACCCAATCAGGGGCAAAACCGTTGTTAACTTGAGCAAGAAACTTAAAGTTGGTTTGTTTTTTTACGCTTATAGTTTCAAACACAATAGAATTCAAATAAATTCTGTATTTCCTTTGATTTGTATGCCAAATGTTTTACACCAGAAAGAGAAAAATGACCATAAAACTTCAAGATCAATATCACAGAAAAATTTCACTTTGCCTGAGGATCGAAACACCAACCTATGGATTTCACTTTGCCTGAGGATCGAAACACCAACCTATGGATTTCACTTTGCCTGAGGATCGAAACACCAACCTATGGATTTCACTTTGCCTGAGGATCGAAACATCCACCTATGGATTTCACTTTGCCTGAGGATCGAAACATCCACCTATGGATTACAAATATAATGCTCTCTAAAGCGTAGCATAAACTACTGAATACATAAGTACGAGCTACATACCCTATAGAGCACCAAGTGTCGGCACTGGCCTCCGATTTATCGATGGAGTTACGATATGACACAAAGGCATCATGAACTTTTCCAAGGCTTGAAAAACACCTGAAATAGTAGAAAACAACTCTTACAATGTCATGAGCAAAACTTTTAATATCTATGCTGTTTATTTAAACATAATTCAGACATGATTACCATTTGTATCAACTATAATGAAATATGGAATGTCGGTGGTTCTACTCAGGTGCATGTCTGTGCCTGAAATAATCGTGCCTAAAGTGCACCGGAGGTCTTCCTCCACCACAAAAGCGGGAAAGTCGCCATATGACCTAATCTGTGTTGGTGTGATGCAAAAACCCAACAAAACAAAATAAAATAAATATAACATACAATTTAAAACAATTTATTTGACTGCATGAATTTGCAAGTTGGCCTGATAATATTGGCTAAGGTTAATGGCAAAAGATAATTACTTTTGGTTTCAAGTGTATGTACTTACCTGCCAAGTAGGTACCAAGTTTGTCCGTTTGATTTATCGTTTTTCAAGGACTCCTGTAGGTATTTGATGGCTAATTCTTCCCGAGCAGATTTCTCACCGAGTGAACTTACTGTGTGATATAACCAACCTGTAATATTATGAAGCACGTTTTTCATAACACAAGAATTATATAACTAATAGACAGTACTGATAAATAAAATTAGCACATAATCTAACCAAAGAATTACGTGTATTTAAGGCATAAGATAATTTGCATCACATGTTTCAGTACATGACCATTATAATTTCCTCTTGGTTGGCATGACAGCCAGAGGAACAAAGTTTTTTTAATAACGTCAGAAGTGTGGCACGCAACTTTCGCATAGTTTTGGATGAAAAGTGTGGTACACAACATCCACATGGAGTTTTGGATGAACAGTGGACAACATCCGCATGGAGATTAGACGAAGTGTGGACCAACTGACCTCCAGACATCAACAACGGGATAAGGAACCAGGTCCTTTGGTACATTTTTATATTCTAATACAGCGCCATGCGGCTCATACTATCAGAACATAACAAAAGTCTATTATTCTCAGCTCACTGTTATTTGTTGTTATTTTGCCTGGTTATAGTTCGATCAACTAAGACGAGGTCTTTATTCTTTTTCTATCGTACATCCTGACTGACGGATGACGAGCAGTGAGGTAACCACAATAGCTAACATTGAACGCATTGTGATATGGCGCGTTTATATAGCTAGAAGTAGAAAAAATTTTCAACTTCAAAAATGGTACAATATAAATGATTATCGTCCCAACAAAACTTTTTTTAACTGAATGCTGTTTGTACAAATACCATAGACACAGATAGAACAATGGCATTGAGAACAAATACACGCAAAATACGAAAACTTTACAAGAGACTTAGTCTACCACTAAACATTTTGCTTGAGACAAATCCAAACAGAGTCCAAACCTTCTGTGTGTAAACAGGTTAAAACTCTGATAGTCTGTGTTGCTAATCTTAGCTATTTTCCTTTTTAGCTTTTCACTTGATTTGTTTGCCTTCCACCTTATTTGTTTGCCTTTCATACTGATATTATTACATTTTTGTTCATTGGTTGGTTCACCTAATTGACTTTCCTGGATAACTAACCAGTAATTACCAATAACTCCGCAGGTGACCTACTCCTAATCCCACATTATGATTTTAATCAACAGTGAGAGACAAAATGATTGACCATTAGACTTTATGTCCAAGATTAATTGTCCAGGGTCTGAGGTTATAAAGAAATTATCAACGCTAAAACAACAAATATCCAGTCATTTGATTGGTCATAGACTGCCACAGAAGAATGTACACTGACCAATGAAAAACATTAGATTTGAGACAGAACTCTGAAAAATTGCCTCGCCAGAGGATTGAACCAGAGACCTCTGGATTAAAAATCCAATGCTCTCCCTGGTTGGATTTCAAGTGAGCTACATAAACACATATTTACCTAGCTGTTTGTTTGCTGTAGCCTTATAAGTGTCCTCACTGCTGTCTTCCGAGCTAATGAACTGTTCGTATGCTTCCTTTGCCTGCTTATATTTACCCTGAAACATCATTAAATTATATCATATTCAATGTCTTGAAATATTACAATTCTCAAATTCATGTTGAAAAAGTCACATCACATTTACTGTAAACATCAAAGTTACAGTTAATTTCTTGATATAAAATGATTCTTAAATTTTTAGAAAAATCATGTCAAAGTTACTGTTATTGTTAAAGAATTGTTTTAAGAGTCTCATTTCAATATTGTAATACATGTACACATATATCGTTATTTATAAATGAATTTATCTCTCTTTCTCTCTTTTTGTACACAGTTTGACAGATTTGATGTTTGTTTTCATATGATATTGTATTTATATAGAAGAGGGGTTAAGAGCTTGTTGTATTTATATAGACGAGGGGTTAAGAGCTTATTGTTTTTATATAGACAAGGGGTTAAGAGCTTATTGTATTTATATAGACGAGGGGTTAAGAGCTTATTGTATTTATAGAGACGAGGGGTTAAGAGCTTATTGTATTTATATAGACGAGGGGTTAAGAGCTTATTGTATTTATATAGACGAGGGGGTAAGAGCTTATTGTATTTATATAGATGAGGGGTTAAGAGCTCAACTCTTTCAAAGATTCTTTTCTGCATTCTGTTCTTAATTCAGACTTTTGACATGAACTAGTTTTAGATCTCTTGGAATAAGGCCACTACCCCTATCGAGCGTTCATCAAGTGTTCATCATAATCAATTTTACAGGTTCATATTCACTAAAAACCTTGCTGTGATAAACTCTCATCATATTAACTCTCACCTAACAGAATTTGGATAATGGACTTGCCTTACTTTAACTTTGGAAAAGTCCATTTTTAGTTTTTAAGGATTTTACTTCAGAATATACATATGCATTATTACAGCTAACATTTGTAGTTTTTACCCCTTAAACCGCTGAATTTCGTAAATGGACTTGTCCAGCTTCCAATGTAGGAACTGTTCATTATCAGTTATGGGGACATCAAAATGAAAATTTAAGTTTGTCAGCCAACAGTATGAAGCTTAGCCAAACTACATGGATATGCAGGCTGGCCTGGCTCTGTACTAGTGGCAATGGCTACATCACTCTTTGGTTCTGACAGGTGAAAGGTTAAGAATGAAGAACCGTCAATGAATTTTTATATCCCATTGTTAACTATGCAACATGTAATATTTGTTGAGAAAAAAAAAACACTATCTCTTACATATATACTATGTTTAATCTATTTTATTCTCAACAAACGAAATCATTAAAGTGTAGAAGAAATTACCTGTACTTCATAAAGGTGGGCAATATGTAGTTTAACTGAAAATAGAAAGAGAAATAACATGATATAACTATAAATGCATGAGAGAAGCAAACTTTTTGATGTCAACAAAAATAATCACATCATATTAGACTTGTAAGTCTAGTTTTTTTTTTAACTCCAATGTCAACCAATTCATAATTATATATCAGTTTGAGTTCTGCAACAACCAGCTGTGAGAGGACATAATGTACCAATATATACCTTCATTTGACTTATCTATTGTGAATGGTTATGCTCTGTGAAGATATATCGGTAAAAGATTGCTTGTTCTTTGTGATTGATTAACATTTGCTAGGTTCAGTCATTGTATGGGATGGAAAACCCAACATTTGCTAAGTTCAGTCATTGTATGGGATGGAAAACCTAACATTTGCTAAGTTCAAATGTTCTTAAGGGATGGAAAACCCGAATGTGCTGGGTTTGGATGTTCATACACATTTGCTGGGTTTAGATGTTCATAAGGGATGAAAAACCCCACATTTGCTGGGTTTAGATGTTCATAAGGGATGGAAAACCCCACATTTGCTGGGATTAGATGTTCATAAGGGATGGAAAACCCCACATTTGCTGGGTTTAGATGTTCATAAGGGATGGAAAACCCCACATTTGCTGGGTTAAGATGTTCATAAGGGATGGAAAACCCCACATTTGCTGGGTTAAGATGTTCGTAAGAGATGGAAAACCCCACATTTGCCGAGTTTAGATGTTCGTAAGGGACGGAAAACCCCACATTTGCAGTGTAATCAGATGTTTGTAATGCAGTCATCTTATAATGTTTGTAATTATACACAAACAAAACATTATTACCTTCCTTCTTATAATGGGGACATGATGGTAAAAAAGAACACAAACAAAGTGATTTAATTAAACAGATATTGGACTTACTTTGAGCTTTTGTCAATGAGCAAGCACTGCAGTCTGAGAGAGCATGCCGGAAATGCTGAAATACAAATACAATACTTTCTTTAAGTTTTCAAACATATACAAACTTTAATTCGAAATGTGTTCATAGGACACAGATAATGGACACGATTCCCACACATTCCCCCATTTCATTGTTTGAAAATAAAAATTAGCTGTCTTAGAAATGATTGCTTAAAAAAATTCTAAAATTACAACGCAGGGTGATTTTTTTTCCTCCACATTTATTGTTCTGAGACTTTAGTAAAATTGCGTAGGATGTGAGGCGACTTTATTCTTTTTTATTGCTAATTTTATCACCACACAAACTAATTTATTTCTTTTTATCAATATGTCAATACTGAAGATTTTTGTTATGAACTGTCAACAATTACCAGTTTAGTTCAACATTTTATTGAAAATGATTTTTTTAACAATTAAGTTTAACATTTTAATGAAATGATTTTAGCAACAGTCTTTTAGTTATTCAGTTATACCAGTTATGGTTGAGCACAATGCTTCAAGACAGACATAAAGAAATAATACCCCAATCACTCACACATCTATACCCATAGTGGATTTACCAGTTGGATAACTATCCCCTTCATAAAGAAAGCCTAACACAAATAGCTATAATGTAACAAATATTTTTTTTGCAATGAATTTTTGTACGAGTCTGGCCAGGTACCATAACCTTTAACCTGCCGAATTTCTGTAATTTCTGTTTTGTATTTGGGTCAGTCTATTCTAGTTCTAAGGGATTTCAATATCAAAATACAAAATTTGAGCTACCAATAGTAAAGGACCTGGTCAGACTACATTGATGCACAGGCTGGCCTGGCTCTATACTGGTGGCAAAGATTAATCACTTTCAGTTCAAGCTGGTGAAGGGTTATGCATGTGTGTGTATTCTATGCTTAATGGGGGCCCATCTGCCCCTTTCAGGCACTTGGAGTATGAGCTCTGGACATGTCACCATTCATCATTCATGTCCTTAATATCTGCCAAAAGGTGACCTATAAATTTGACGGTTATGCACACACAACAACTTCACAACATCATTGTATGATGATGATTTTTAATATCTCTCTAAATAACCATTTATTGTTACATAAATAATTCCTGTGCCCATTCATCTGTCAACAGTTTAAAACATCAAAGAATTGGCCGAAACATAATCTTTCTGTATTATAAAATCTGATATCTATATCACAGATATTTAATCTGTCTGATTGTTTGCCAAAAAACGCTGAGCAGCAGCAGATTTTAACATAACCTTATAAAGATGCAACTTTAATACTTTTTTGCTGTCGGATTTAAAGTCGCACGGACATCCTAAGGTCAAATGACGATCGACTTTGTAGATAGTTTCCTCATATAAAAGAATTCAATGTCCTTGACTGGGTTTGAACCTACAACTAAGGCATGAATGTCACTTAATCCTCACCATGCTAAATATCTTAAATGGACTGATCCATCTTTTAAACTGCATAAAACCATATATCAGTTTTAGGGGAAATTTTAAAATTTATTCTGATTGAATAGCAAACAGTGCAGACCATGCTCAGAAAGCATGAATGCACAAGCAATCTTGGTCTGCACTGGTCGCATAAGCGAATTCAATAATTTCCGTATTCTACGTACCTTTAAACTTTTTTCAAAATCTTTTCCTATTTTAAAGATGAATCCAAGACGTATATGTATCTCGTTTGCTCGACTAAATCCGGGATCTGTGTACAACACTTGCTGGAATGCCCGAGTGGCACTGAAAATAAATAGACAAATCACCGTTTATTACATTCATTTATATTAATTTATAGACATCGTTTAGTTAAAGTCTACATCTTATACATTTATTAGCTGCGACTAGTCCGACCTTACGACAGTACTTTGTATTAACATTTAATTTGTCATAAGGACGGTACATAGTATAAACAGAGGATTATGACGGAACATAGTATAAACAGAGGATGGAAGTGTGCATCATGTTTGTAATAAGGAGCACCATGCAAGACAGAGGCTGTCACCCTTTATACATCTTTCGTGAAATTGTCGCAGTTTTGCATCTTGCCCATTTAACTTTCGGCCAATGATTTGCTGACTTTTTACCTGATATACGATACCTGCCTATCTTTCTAGCTTATAGAACAAGAGATCGTTGATAATTCTAGTAAAGTGCATGTTACAGCAAGATCTTTCTTACTGAATTGAAATTTTTTATGAGACACATGATACCTTTCTATCTAGTTTACAGAACGAAAGAAAGTTGATAGTTCTAGTAAAGTGCATGTTACAGCAAAAACTTTTGTACTCATAGTGCCGCACCTGTGATCTTCCATGGAAAAAACTCAATTTGACATGGATTCCATTTCCACTTGAAAATAAACCAATATATATAAATTCTATAGCATTGACCTCACTTTGATAATAAATGCTACCCCCCCCCCCCAAAACCCCCTTGCAACTCCCTTCCTTCTACACAAGAAAAGACTTGCATATTGAATAATTCCAGCTACATTTCATAACGAAATATTACAAGGTTACGCAAACCTTTAATGTTCAGGAAACAATTGTTCAGACATGTTGCTTAACCCGTGGTCTACATAGCTTGTTAAGAATGCACATCAAAAGCTTCCATTGTTGTGTATATATGAAGCAAATTCTATCAAACAAATACATTAGTATTGATCTATCGTAATAGACAATTAACTCTGTTCAAACAGCTTGGGGTAAATAAAACATGCACCATACATGTATATAAATGCATGAAAATTTAGTTATGAAAACTTGTCAAATTCTACATGTAACATGCTGTTATTAAGCCATGAAAAGAAAAATAAAAATGGTTTTATATTTAGCTAAAAAAGAATGGTTGCATTTGAAATTGCCAACTTATAAATATGCTGCAATAGCATTTTGTATGAATCTTTATCTTTTCCGTTTTATTCCAATTTTAACACATTTATTTATTTTTCATGATCTCTGCATTCCATCAACATAACAATGACCATGAGACGCAATGTTCGAGCTCGATAATCATGGAGAAATTACTTGAATGTCCAAGATAAAAAATCATGGAGAAATTTCTCCTCGCCTCAGAATCGAACCTGCGAACTCTTGATCACTAATGCACTAATCTTATGCTCTCGCTATTCAGGTGATCTGGGGGCTGATCCAATAAAAAATTTCAAGATTTAAACAACTGATGAATCTAAGTCTATTGTCACAGCTCTCATTAGGTTGTCAAATAAAAGATGCTCTAATATTCTCTGTCACAAAATTATTAATGATGAAGTTTGACAACATTACTCTAGCTAGTTACAACGGGGATTTCCCTAGAGGGCTTTTTCTGTCAATGTAATACTTCATTTGTTTCAATATATTTTTATTATGTATGCTATATATTACAATGTATGAAAATAATCAGATACAGATTCATCTGAGAGAAGGCCCTAAGAGTATGAAGTACTTTGTGCATGCCACATTTGAACCTGCAGGTTAAGTATAGTTGGCCAATAACTGGGTTTATATTTGGCCAAAAACCATGTTTATATTTGGCCAAAAACTGGGGACTATATTTGGCCAAAAATGGGTTTATATTTGGCCAAAACCTGGGTTTGTATTTGACCAAAAATAGGGTTTATATTTGGCCAAAATCTGGGTTTAAATTTAGCTATAACCTGCTGGAACCGAAAGTATTTGATTAAAGTTCTGCTTTATGTAAAGAGATAGTCGACCCTGCACATCCATGCATCCGGTTGGTGAGCTTGATGTCAGTATTTTGATCCTATTTTGATATTAAATTCCCTCAAAAACTGTGAAAAAGACTGTTCCAAAAATCCACTGGGAACGGGTTTAGTACCTGATACCAACTTACTTTACTGAGGAATAATAAAAACAAATCAATGATCTGCAATAATGAATGAATAATACAGACAGCACATATTAAGCCAGCTGATCTGCGTCTGCCCTGGTCACATGGCTAGAATCTATTGCGCCAGCTGGCTAGTGGTAAAACGAGACATACACACAATTTACTATGCTTGTCCATAGCCAATTAACAAAGCATAACAAAGTTTCTAAGTCAATGCCCCATTTTCGATAGCCCAAAAAAATAAACATACATTAATTATTGCAAACTGGGCAATTCATCAAATACTTGCCTAGACAGGTAACTGTACACCTATACAAAAGTAGGTCACCATTTATGTGTATTTACATAAAAGATCAACTGGAGAATTTGACCCAGTTTTACACGAGATTTGTCATTCTGTTCTATTTATAGACTGATTTAAGATTTTATTTGTATTTAGATTGTACATAGATATAATGCCATCAAGCTATTATCACAAAACTGATTCAAACTAATTTAAACAATCCAAATATAATCTCCCTATCTTTGTTATAAATATAACAGACAGGTAGATTTGTTCCCCTGATAAACTCCAAACAATTGAACACACATTTAACAATGAACTTGGCTTTATATACCAAATTTAAGTATGTTAAACTAAGTATGTCTGAAAAAACCTTGCTATAGAACTGATTTAGCCTGTAGCAGATTTAACCTTTGACCTTAGCAGTACAATGACTAGTTAAATGCAGATTTTTTTTTTACCAGTCAATCTTACCTGGCTTTTTACTACCTTTGTTAAACAGCCAATATTTCCCGACTGAACTTGCTTTAAACCTTTAAATATCCGTACTTCCAAAGAAATAACACTCTAAATTCCAGAAATTAAAGACCAGTATATCATAAAGTGAATACTGGACATTCAAATAAAAATTAAACAGTCCAAGAATATTAAAAAGACACAGACAAAAAATTTCAACCATTCAGGTTTTATGTCACAAAGCTGAACTTATCAACACGGCAAGGTTAAGTAGGCACTACTACATAAATACTGTGATTAAACTAATAATTGCCTAAGGTATGTACACACAAAAATCCACAAGAAATCAATAATTTCTAATATCTGCAGACAGGGCACTTGTTCGAAATTTGAAAATTGTTTGGAGTGCGGTCAGTTGGACAATTGGTCAAGCATGTAAAGAGGTTCACCATGGGGGGAATAAATCAATACGACCTGTAAATCAGTAACTTAATAGCTTTCATTTGTACCTGTAACCTATATAATGTAACTTTTCGTACCAGTTTAGGCAGGTTGTAATAAATAATCTTACTTGTTGAAATATTTCATATTTCATGTATTAATTCATAAAGGAAGTTTATTGAAAATGCCGCATTTCACTTGAATGAAATATTTATGTAAATAAATGAGTAAGGACTCTAAGGAGTTGGGTTAAAGCTGCATGCCTCCAAATGAATCAAAATATTTCAAGAAAATCTATTTTGAGACAAATGTTCAATGACTTTAAAAATTCTTAAAAAGATTCAAGAAATAGTTTTTATGTTATATGTGATTCATGAATGATTTTGCAGTATTTATCAACATATTTCTACTATGTGACTAACACAGAGAGGGCTATTTTTGCAAATTTTAACCTTTTTTATATTATTCGCTGATTATACATGCCATTTGCAATGTGTAAATTTTCTTCTTTCTCCACTTCACAATATTTTACTTTTAAATACATTTTCAAAATTTTCATAAAAATTATCATAATTCTTAAGGTGATATTGCTGCTATCTAAAAGGATGACCTACTTATTGAATAAAATTTAAATAAAATTAGGTCAGGAACCAGATAACCAGACCAAGTTACACAGCATTATACACTTACCTGTATGTCAACAGCAATAATGGACTGTAATTAACCCTTAAGTGCCAGAGGAAATTAGGCTTTGCCCAGATGATACAAGTGAAGAGCAAAACATGGGCCTTCACATATGGGCCGTTAACTCATTAATGCACGAGGGTGACAAACTGACGATATGTAAAGATACTGAGCCGAACCCGCCTTAAAAAGTGCTCTTGGCTATTCAATTGTTAAAATCCCAAACTAATTTCTAACCTCATAGCAATGGCATTCAGTGGAGATTGAATCATCTCAATGTTACCCCAGGTAAGTGCCTTTGACAGCGATTTGGTTAACCAAACATCAAAGTTCCTTCTATTCCCTGGGGACGGGTCGGTCCAACTTCTGCTGAGTTACAATTGATAGGTGCATATAAAAAGTGGGATTAAATCGCAGGTAGGACTGCATGCCTTTGATAGGGATGAGGTTACCCAAACATCAAAGTCCCAAGGGACTGGTGGGTCCCACTTCTGTCACGAGTTACAACAGGTGTATAAAAAAGTGCTGCATAGTCAATATTAGTCATTATCACTAATTCAACTCGCTTATTATCCACTTAATAAGGAAAACAAATGAAAATGACTGCATAAAATGAGGAAAATCTGCTGCAATTAATCTACTGCTGAACTTTGCTCGCATTGTGACATGAGACCAAGGTCAAGAGACTACTTTTTTGTGGACTATTTTTGAGTCAAGTTTTGCAACAAGAACCTTCAAATATCCTCATGCATTTCCGGTCAACAACAACCCACTTAGACCAACGAGGAAAAAAGTTATACTAGTATACATGGTAACTACTTATACTAGTCTAATACTTATGTACCTACATCAATTTTGCTTATTTGACACATCCTTGTTTATAGATGTCAAGCTGTTATGCATGTCAAGCAGTTATATTTTAACAAATATAAAGAATTTATTTCTATTTCATATTAATTATTATAATGTTATATTTAAAACTCTTAAACTAAAGACTTGTACTTTAATTAAATAAACAAAAAAGTTA